TGCATGGCAGCCTTCTCAAGGCCCTCCTCTCCTGTCTGCCTTGCTCTGGACAGTGGGAATACCTGGTGCTCTAAGCACAGAGAAGGGCTGGGTTGCTCGCCTGGATGGTGGGACCATGAGTGTTTAGCTGGAGAGGCTGAACGTGTATCAATAAGCAGATGTGGAATGTGAAGGAGCTGGGAGTGTGTGAGGCAAAGATTCCAAAGGCTTTAATACCCAACAGAAGTCCTTACAATGTTAAAAAACTATGAAATTAGCTTCCTTTATTCATCCTTTTGCTGTAATTAACTAGGAACAGTATTACAGTGGTACCTAGAATCCCTCCTGGCCAGCTCTAAGGTGGCCTGTGCCATCTGTTAGCCCTCACTTCATCTGCCATGTGCCTCCTGTTCAAGCACCAAGCTGTTTCTCCTTGCACTGTCCCACTGGGTGGGAATAAAGGGAGGCTAAAAAACCCCAGGATGGTTTATTTCTAGTACAGAGTCATGGCCATAGGTGTAACTGCAGAGATGAGCAGGGCCAGGGGCTTAAGGTGAGTGTTTTGTGATGGCTTTGGTGTATGAAAACAAAGTTACCTCCTTGTTTGTCTTTGAGATCCCTCCTAAGCATGGCTCTCAACCAGCTTTTCCTATTCTTTAAGGATAATAGATGAGGCAGAGGCAAAAAGAGACACAAGCACAATGGAATAGTTTTTAACCTGGCTTGATTAATGCTGTCAAGTTGCACATCTGAGTGTGAGCTCAGTGGGACTGTTGCTTTTGTTTAATACCACAAGACACCTCAGTCTGGATTGTTGCATTACAGTACAAATAAAAAACAGAAACAAAACCACATCTGCATCATACAAGGTGAGAAGAAGATGAGAATTCTAAATATTTACAGAGAAGGGCAAGTGGGGAAACCACAAAAAATATTTACATAAAAATACATGAGCTTGTCAGCATATACATTTTACACCAGTTCACAAAAAAAGACACTATATAAATTAAAGTGAAGGGAACTCCAAAGGGAACCCAAGACTTTCTGGGATGTTTTCTCTCATGCGGCTCAGGGAAAGAAAAATCAAGTCTTTTACAGCAGGAAAATGAACTGCAAAACAACCCTTTCCTCCTCCCTCCCCACAACTGGATGAGGCAAGACTCCACACATGCAGGTTTTATGTCTGTTGAGACCAGACCATGCCTTTCACCATCAGGGATCTGCAGCATGAGGCGCTGGGGAAATTGCTGCCCTCCTAAGCTGCCTCCAAGGGAAGTAAAATAGGTTCTCACCCACCTTTCCTAATGCTTCAGTCAATGTACTGCTGAGCAGAGTACACATGAGGGTCTGTCCCTTTCTGGAGGTAAAGAGGAACAGCAGGTTTTCAAGTTGGTTTTGGTTTGGTGTAGCAACTTACTACCACTGTGAAATCCTTTCTGACCCCCCCCTTCAAACAGTGAGCATAAACCCAGGACCTCTGGAAAGGCATAGGCACAAAGTTGTGGGTGTTTTGTCTGTGCATATAGATTTCACCTGACAAGACTCTTTAACAGGGAGACATTAATGCTTTACTTAAGACTTCATAGGGGCTAGGGCCTCATTACCTAACATCTGCACTCCCCCTTCCCCAAGGGAAGTCTCCCCTGGGTTAGAGCAGTCTCCACTCCAAAGCAGAGGTGACAATCCAGTGTCACCTGAGTGCATCAGGGAGAACCTTGGCTGGAAACCTGGGAAGCAGCAATTTCAGATGCAGACAGCTTGTGGAAATTTAGAAGGGTGTTACTTAAGAACATATCTGCTTGTTGTATCGCTGGAGACAGGGTTAGGCAAGGAATTACTACTCAGAGCAGAAGGGGACTTGCAATAAGAGTGTTCTTTGTGTTGCCCTCCCTTTCCTCTGCTAGGGCACTAAGAACTGAACTACCAACTCACGGGTCCTACTCGCACATCTGGTGTAACTCCCCCCTCCTGGCTCTGATGCATGATGCCCTCTATAAGCTCAGCTATGATTTTGGGATGTTTTGACTTGATGCTGACTCAGTTGATGAGGATGTAAAATAACCACAGTGCAAGAGAACTGCATAGTTCACTATATGGCTTTGTGCAGGGTGGATGCGGGACGCCTCCTGAATTGTACTTAATGTTTCAGCCATGGGCAGTAGGTACACTCCAAGAAAGGTGCTTGTGTACTATTCTCTGGGAAAAGCTGGTGCCTTAACCTTGCTTTTTGTTTTCCTTTTTGTCCTTGTGGCTCAACACTAGTGTACAGCAGTTAGTTTGGGTTCTCTGAGAGCTTTCAGCCCTTGAAGTATGCGCTGATGTGGCTGCATGCAGAGGGATGTTTTCTGCTGCCTTTATTAAATGGAGACCTTATTCTCAAAAGGAAGGCTGTGTGTAGCAGCCACCTCACTATAGGGGTGTGCACTTCCAGAAGCCCTTTACAGCTTCTCCTTCCCGTGGGGCAACAGGGTACTTGGCACCTCACACAAGGTACTGAGCTGCAGGGGCAAGGCTCAGGCTGGAGTAGTGAGAAGACCATAAGGAATAGGTGGTGTCCAAGGATGGCACTTGATCTCTAGAGGGAGACAGTGGCTTTGAGGAGGAAAATCCAGCGAGGCGTTTGACAATTCCTGGGAGCTGGGCTCAGCTCCCTCATAGTAGGATAGTCCTGGTTAATGTAAGGCCAAAACGGAGGTTAGGAGAGTTGCTGTGGGGCAGGAATGGGGAATTAAGGCTTCCACAGAGAGAGAGGGTTGACCTCCAGCTCTCATTACCTGAATCCCAAATAGCCTGAACCAAACACATTGTCCCTGCTTCGGCTGGAGCCTTCAGCAGGTAACTAGCAGCTGTGGGGAGACTGTACTACAACACTTGAAAACTGCTACTAGTCCTAATACAACACACACCTCTACTGCGAGAGCAGGTACTCACAGTGGACTCCCTCGGTGAGCTTGCGCTGAGGAACCCAGACAGGTCAACCCTTCCCTAGGGAGTCAGCCAGCAATGCCCAACGTGGCTCACCTCACGGCCCCTTTCTATATATTTGGGTTACTTTTCCTCCAAAGAAAACATTACAAAAAGCATTTCCTCACAAAAACCTGACCCCTCTGCCTGGTGATGACTCAAAAGGAGATGGTGGTAACCTGGCTCGCAGTTACCAGCTGCTTTTTGATTTATCCCTTTTCCTCCCCTGCTGCCAGATTTAGTTCTGTAACGTGTCAGAATGACTCTTCTCAACAAAATGTTTAAACCAACAGCACTGCCCAATAAAACAGGACCATGAGGTGGTGCCACTGAAACAGCCCCAGACGGGGCTACAGGATTACAAAGAAGCTAAAGACTAGTTAGCAACTAGAAACAGGTTTTCCTTAGGATTTAAAACAGCCATGGAACTTTTGTTCAACCATCTAAGCTCCCTTGAGCTCTAACAGCCGTGTGCTGACTGCAGGACCTCCAAGGGTTTTCATAAAGCATTAGAGATTCAACACGGGTAGAAAAGTTCTGTCTTCAACCACACAGAACAGGAACGGCCTTGGAATTTACTGGTGAACATATAAAAACTAACTTAGTCTCAAGTATTGCTTGCAAAGCCCCGGCTAATGAAATGGATGTGCTTTATCTATAAGGTGGGGTTGCAGGGCATCCTGGGGATGTCCAAGAGGATCATTTTTCTTCTCTTTGACAATATGGAAAGCTTTTAAATACCTAGGACAACGTGGTTAGTGTATTAGAGAGTGCACTGGCCTTCTGTCCCTACTGCTAACTGAACACTGGCATGAGCTACAACTGCAATATGGGAGGCAATGCTATTTCACAGCACACAAACAGCACGTAACTACTCTGTATGTGCCACAACTTCAGAGGGATCCCCTTGCCAACAAAGAACTTAAAGGTTACAGAAAGCCATGTCCTGGAGACCTTCTTTGAAGTCAACAGGAGCATTCCCTGATCTAAGAGCTGCAGAATCTGGGCCGGGGCTAATAGCTGGTCATGCAGGTAACTCGGCACTTACACAGTCATTCCCAGCAGGTAAGTTGGGCTCCAATTTACAAGCTGGACATAATCCTAAAGAGACTTTATAATATTGTTTCGTAGAGATGATGCTGTCTGGCCAGCCACAACACGGTATCGCATTGTCTGGACTGAAGACAGCCTAGCAGTAAAGAGGAGTTGGCATGAAATGGGTGTGCTGTTCCCAATGGGTGTGCATGGTTTGGTGTGGGTCTCTGTGTTGTTTCTTTTGGTATGTGAAATGCAGACTGCCCTACTTGGCTCCCATAGCTGGCCACAGAAATTGCAAGTAATTGATTTCTTGTAGTCAGAAACAGCTTGTGAGTAATTTAAAAAGTGTGTTGTATTCTCAGCTTGCTCCAGAGCCTATTCCACAGGCTTCAAGTGAAAACAGGCTCCCCCCCCCCACTTCAAAGCAGTTGAAGGGGACCCACGAGGCCTAAGCAATAATTTCCAAGGGAGACACAGGACCTTAGCATTTATCAGGAAAATACTTGGGAATTCTTTCCCCCCCATCCAGCTTTTGCTGTGTAACCTTGGAGGGGGGGGGCAGAACATTAGTTTTCCAAGGCCTGTATGGAGCCCCTTGCTTGGGAAGCTGGCAGTGGGAAGGGAGAAGAGCTGCATGCACAGTCCCTCATGCACAGGACTGTGGGGCATGGGGAGGATGCGGCGCTAACTGCCAATGGCAAACGTAGGAAAGGAAAAGCATTTCCTTCCCCCCCTGCCCCAACAGCACGTCTTTCAGCTCTGCCCAGCCTCTCTGGCAACGTTTGTGTGCCAAGAGCCTGCCCTATCACTCCAGTTGTCTCAAAACTACATGGAAAAGCTCTATCTCTACTACATAAAAACAGTGAGTGGTGGGGCTGGGTTGCTGAAGGGGGGTTTGCTTTGCTCATCGGGGCAGGATTGGTTTGTGTTTGTGGTTTTTTTCCATCACTGAAAAAATAAAACAGTCCACTGTCCAGCAGAGGCTGCTTAGACTCTATCCCACCTTCCCCCCCACCAGCTCACTCGACGTGGACCTCTGTTTCAGGCCTCTGCAAACACAGCTCCGTCGGGAGGAAGGCTCCCTGGCCGAGCGCCGTGGCGTAAGTTCTACTGTGCACATGGGTAAAACTGGGGGGCACAAACCCCCCTCCTCCAACATAGCCCCCTCTTTGGTGCTGAGGCATGGTATGGTAATCCTCCAAATTATCATACTGGGACACCACAGTCATAGTGCTTTGGCGTTTCCCAAGGGTTTGGTACGGGTAGAGCAGGGCAGAGTCCCTCTCCATGGGGTCAGGGTGCTGCATTCTGAGGCTGTGGCTCCGTTCAGGCTTGGGTGGCGGTGCCATGGGGGAGGCAGCGTGTTCCTCTTCCTTATAGCAGTCTCTGGAGTGTTTCTCCATGGACATGGTGGGTCTGCCTCGAGACCTCTCCAAGTCTGGCCTGTCCTCTGCCAACCTCACCTCCTTGTGGTTCAGTCTCAGGGTCTCCTGGTTCGCCGGGATGTACTTGCTGCCCGTGTGCTGGTAACCGATGGGCTCGGAGGGCTCTGGGCCACCTTTGGGCCTGTAGTCGGGATAAGGGGGCCCGTTTTTGGATTCGGAAGGCTGCCTATGGCTCGCTTCCTGCTGCAAGTGCGTCCTGTGTTCGTTTGTGCTGCAGCCTGGCTCCGGATGCAGCTTCCTGTTCCGGATGCTGCTCTGCTTCTGGGGAAGGGACGGCTTCTCTGACTGCCCGTTCCCATAGGCCCCGTGGTAGTGGGCTCTCTCTAGCTCTGGCTCAGGGTGCTGCATGTAGTAACGCTCGTCGCCCTCGGGCGTAGCTGCTTTG